CAATGCCTATAAAGAAAATGAATTGATGCGCTTCTGTGCCGTTTTTCTAAATGCAGACATTTCCGGCTTGCCCGATGCTAACTGCTGCAACTGTGCATTGCACAAGCACGTCGTGGCCACAGTGATGGCAGACAGGATGTTAATCAGTGCTTTGCAGTTGTATTGGTGCCTCCACTGGCTCTGGCTGCCGAGATGTGCATTAAGTGTGAAGAGATAAAAATCAGGCAAATTCATTTTGGCCGCTGCTGTGTACATGGCTCGTGCGCATCTGGCACAACATGGTTCCCCACGCAATTCTAATTCACTGCCGTGACGTGTCAATCTCTAGTTGCTCCGACCCCTGGTATCCGAGATGTATGAACGGTTTCGAAAGCCTGGTCGTCGGCTTTGTCGTGGGTCGCATTTGCGGGTCGCCGCCCGCGCAGCACCGATGGGGCTAAGACAAACCTGGCACGTGCCGCGCCCGGATTGCGGCGGTTCGCGAGCTACCTGTGGAAACGGCCCCATGCGCCCGCGCGTCCTGTCCAGATTTCACTATCCAATTGCCGCCGGTCCGGGCGCGACGCGACGCAAAATGAGACAGGCAAACAGACGCACTGTCAGGAAATAGTATATATATAGATGTGTACTATGCATAGTTTATGCGGCACAGCTGTTGAGGAACGAGGCTTATTACAAAGGCTGCATCAACTAACAATCAGTGGTGGCAGAGGTATTGACTTCTAGAAGGCATACGTGCCGAGCAGTCCCGGGCCAATGAAGTTAGAAATAACCTCATAGTTAAAGTAATGGTCACTTGGTATGCGCTGTTTCGCTCATCATGAGCAGATTAGACAGGGAATATGAAATCAGTTGATTCCCTTTATTGTTCCACTTGATTGTATCATTTTTGCCACCAGTTAATAGCGAAAATGATACAAAAAAGTGACTATGGTGGGGGGATTAATATCAGATTGAGGACCATTGTATGGCCACCTGCAAGCGTGCAATCTTGATTACAGGTCCTATATTTGAGGCACCCAGCAGATCATGGATGTACCTGGATCCAGTTTATGCAATGGGGCGAGTCTGCATTTTGACGACATCTCAGTGGAGCCGGGAACTCGGGATGCCGGGGAAGAGGACGAAGCTGAGACAGCGGAAGAGGAGGAACGACGAAATCAAGAGGTATGCTAAGGCTGCAAAGTGGGACAAGTTGCAATATAGGAAAATGTGTTTGCCTCATTATCCAGATGAGGGTAGATATGCATGCTGCTGAACTTCGTCATCTCAGGCTCAACTTGCATCAAACCTGAGCACTAGGCTGCCAGCTATTGTTATGCTCATCAAACAAGTTGTCTGATTAGCCATGGAATGCTGAGTGATGTTCTTGTCGATTTTGTTTTCAGCTCCAGAATGTATTGAAGGATGCATTTGATGATCTCATTGAAGATGATGATGAAGATGAAGATGGTACACTGAACCACACTGGTGACCCAAGTTTTCACCCAGAAAAATATCCCACCTCTACACCTTTTGTGGCTGATAGAGAAAGGTAGGTTTGTATAACAAACCTGATTAAATCACAAATCAGCTCAGATATATACACACATGTGTATATATATATACATATATAACATATACATACATATATATATATATATATATACATATATATGCATATATATACATATATATATATATATATATATATATATATATATATATATATATATATATATATATATATATATATATATATATATATATATATATATATATAATCTGCATTAAGCACAGAACATAGCTGAAGGCGTCATCTGCCTTTTTTCCGCCGCCGAACGATGTACAATTGTATGAGCATCATATGTATGCGGGTATGGCAATGCATGAAAAGATCCCAAAAGGCATTTTACCCAAACAGCTGATATGTCTTGTCTCTCTATCGGTTCAGGTCGCTGTTTGACGAGCTGGGCGGCCAGTACAACCTGCCGCGTATGAGTGATCCGGACGGCGGGTACGTCACGCACCCGGACGGAGACTACCCTCGCCACCCGGATGGAGATTACCAGCGCCACCCGGATGGAGATTATCAGCGCCACCCGGACGGCGACTATCCGTGCCACCCGGACGGCGACTACCCGCGCCACCCGGACGACTACCCGTGCCACCCGGACGGTGGCTACCGCCGGGACTCAGACGAGTACGAGCCGGAGCCGGTCGGCGCTTCTGACGCGTACGTGACGCTCCGGCCCGAGGAGACCAACAAGAGCCTGACCGAGATGGTCAACACTCCGCGCCAGTACCTGGACACGTCTGGTGAGCGGGCGGCGGAGGAGGCGCGGCGCCGCTCGAGGTGACCGGCCCGGGCGCGACGAGTCAGGGCCGCCGCTGCGCTGGCGGCTGGCGGACGTTGCGGCGATCGCTAGCGCTGTCGGTCGCGAGCAAGCCAAACGCGCATCGCTGACAGGGCGACCACTTGCATCGTGGGTGTTTTTTTCCGGTCCTATCCCCGGTGAAGGATGACCATTGTGATGGGGAGGGGGTGGGGGACGGAAATGACTGGTGGATTTGGAGCTCATTCTGCAAAGATGGGGATCTGGTGCGCTACACGAGACTTCCACTGTCACTAGGGGTGGTGAGGCTAATGACCTTCACTTAGCGAGTACACGAGTGATCGCTGTTTTCTTAGGCAACGCTCTGAGCCCTTTTACTTCGTGAATACTTGATGTCAATAAATTGCACATCGCCATCATGCAGCTGCATGAAGCCATGCGGGGAACTGCTATATGGCCTGCAGCGGGGCCGTGCTGCAGCGGCCGCCTCGACTCTTGTCCGGCTCCGGTGGGTTTTTCGATCGCGGTGGACTCGGGCCGGGTCTGTCTGTCGCGGCTCTTGTGATCCGAACTGTCAGTGTTGCTGCAGCGCGTTGTGCGGGGACTGGCCGTAGTTCCTGAGTTTGAATCTCAGACTTGCAGCGGCCGCCTGCCTTAAGCGTGTCGAACGCCCGCTGTCTGAACCTCTCCGGCGTGTCTGACCAAGACCGTCTAGAGTTGCGGAGCGCGTCCGACCAAGACCGCATAGACTTGCGGAGCGTGTCTGACGTTTGCGTCACCGGTCCCGGTTTCGTCCGCCTCCGTCTCTCACCGTTGATACCAGCCGGTCGGCTGGCAGGCACGGACACCTCGGCCGCCCACTACCGGCACTGTTACACCAGTCCACGTAACGAGCTGGCGACGTCGGGCGACGCCGCCGACGAAGACGCCAGCAGCGGCAACATGATCGAGATGGGTCTGAAGGCCCACGAGGCCGACTGGGGCGGGGACCGGCCAGAGCGGCTGGACCCCGGCAAGTACGTGGCCAACAAGCAGAAGGACTACATACTGGGTGAGTGCCGCGGAGGCGGGGCAGGGGATGTGGGGGCTGCGTCGCTGCTTACGATACACCTCGTATTTGCAGGATGATGTTATTCGGTCGCTTTGCTTGTGAATGGCTGCGTTGCGCTGCTGTTGTTTTCCGCAAACTGGAACCTGCAACGAAGAGCCGCGTCTCGCTTGAGTGAACGCCCGCGACGGATATTTTGTGGGGGCCCGCGTGCCGTGCCGTCGTGGTCGAGTTGTGCGCCGGCGGTGCTGATGTCGGCCGGCCGTCGCCAGCGCGCTCGTCTCGGGACCAGCTGGAGACGCTGTACGAGGCGCGGGGTCACGAGATCGGCCGGCTGCGGGCCGAGGCGGAGCGGGTACGCAGCGACACGGCCGCCGAGCTGCGCACCGCGCGCCACCAGGCGGCGCTGGCGGCCGCTGACCGCCAGGGCCTGGAAGTCAGCCTGCAGCAAGCCCGCAGCTTGCTCGGTACGCACAGACAGGGGCAGAGATACCGTATGATGTACGACAGTTGAACAACTGTAGCCTTTCGTATGTGTGTATTTGTTCCATTATGAGGCTATTACAATTATACACTTCGCCACACACGTGGAGAAATAGTGGTATCCAGCTTCTCTAATAATATTGCATTATCTCAAATAACTTAATAGCTTTTATTACGAGGGTTTTGTTCTATAAGCGTGAGCCACACACTGGCATGGTGGTATCCAGCTTCTCTAATAATCTTGCATTATCTCAAATAACTTAATAGCTTCTATTACGAGGGTTTTGTTTTGTAAGCGTGTAACTGATTTTGCCACTAGTAACGCCTCTCGACTTTACAGTGGAAAAAGAGGCACTGGTTAGTCAGCTGAAAGGAGAAACAGATTCCCTCAGAATTCAACTACAGGCATCGGAGGAAGCGAAAAAGGAGGTGCGTGTCTGGCCGAATGTCATAATTTGGTGCGTGGTTGGATGTGGCTTCCATTATAAGGCTAACTGTGCTTCTACTTTATGTTTACTTACGTTCTACGCGTTCGAATGACGTCTGCCGTTCGTCCGTGATATCTCGCAGCGCTTTCTGTGTCTTTTGATGGTCTCCGATTCTAGTTGGAGCCGTGCCATTTTCATGAAATGGTGAGAAGTGCGGCTAGCACCAGTGCTGGCTGTGGCAGGCCGGCTGCGTCGCGTGTGCGCGTGCGTGCGCGGCCTGACTCCGGTCGCCCCGCTGTCGGCAGCAAACAGGCCGCCTGCAGGCGTCCGAGGTGACCGTCGCCAGCCTGCAGACTCAGCTGGCCGAGCTGCAACGCTCCGAGGCGCTGGCGCGTAACACGCAGCGCCACCAGCAGCTGGTGGACGGCCTGCAGCGGCGACACGAGCAGGAGCTGGCTGAGCGGCAGCTGCAGCTGGACCAGCTCACTGCCCAGCTCACCCGCCAGGTGAGAACGGCCAGCCGCAGCCAGCCGGGCGCTGCCAGCCGCTTTGCTCGCCAGGCTTGACCTGATCTTTGGCGTGAATGCCGACCTGTTGTGTGGCATGAGTGCCTACCTCTTGTGTGGCATGAGCATCGACCTCTTGTGTGGCATGAGCACTGGCCTGCTGTTTGGCACTATTGCTGACCTGTATTGTTGGATGAATGCTGCCTGTTGTGTGGCGTGAGTGCTGACCTATTGCGCAGCATGAGCGCTGGCCTGTTGCATATGTAACGGTCGGGGCCTAGCTGAGCAGTTCTGGCGGGCAGGGGAGTTGTGTGATCAGCTGAGCAGTTCCGGCGGGCGCGGGAGTGCGCGCCCCGCTGGGGGTTAGCGGGTGGCGGCCGGAGGATACGGGTGTGGTGAGAGTTGCTGAGATTGGAGATTGGCTGTTGTTTGGAATAACAACAAGAGATTTTTGAACACGGACGTTGACTTTTTGAACTAGTAAAAACGAGAACGAACGCGGGCACAACACATAGCATGAGTGCTGTCCTGTTGTGTTTCATGAATGCTGGCATGTTGTGTTGCATGAGTGCTGACCTGTTGTATGGCACGAATGCTGGGCTGCTATGTGGCCTGAGTGCTGATCTGTTATGCGGCATGAGTGCTGGCCTGGTTTGTGGCATGAGTGCTAGCCTGTTGTGTGGCATGTGTGCTGACCTGTTGTGTAACATGAGCGCTGGCTAGTGTAGCTGAGTGAAGTCAGCTTGGGGCCAATCCAGTGTATTTGTTGAAGTGCATGTATGTCTATTTTATGTATTGAAGAGCAGAATGTCATACAGGCAGAACGTCATGTCGATGTCGTCATGTCGTCATGACACCCCGTGCGCCCGTCGACGAGTGGCCTGTGGCCTTCACTATTGGACACGTCCCCGGTCGGCTGTCAGCTCGGCGGTCTCCTGACGGGAGCTGTCGCCGCGCCCGCCCCCAGACGGAGCTGGCGGCCAGCCTGCAGTCGCAGCTGACCGATTCGGAGCAGGACCGGCACCGGCTGGCCGCCGACAAGGGTGACATCATCAACCAGCTGACGTCCGGCCTGGAGGCGGCGCAGAGCCGCTGCCGCCAGCTGATGCAGGGTGACGCTGCGCAGCTGCGCCAACAGCTGGCTGCCGAGGAGACCCGCCGGCTGCAGACCGAGCAGCAGCTGGCCACGGCTAAGGTGGGGGTTAATGGTGTTCCCTAACTTATTTTTGCTGCTTTAGTGTGTATATTAATGTCATTCACGATTCTTGGGCATTGATCCGTCGAAGATGGACATGTTTCTGACTTTTCGTGTCTTTAACGGATGTTCACGTTTGCGAGGTGAAATGTGATGCTTCCGTGCCGTCTTAGATCAACTGGGAGATGGCTGTCGGACCCTGTGCTGTCCTCCATCAGCTGACTCGCCGCTCGGTTGGCCCCTCAGGAACAGCTGGCGAACCTTCAGCGTGACCTGGACGCCTGCGAGTCGGTGCTGCGACTGGGCGGTACGGAGGAGCCGGCCGCCGACGCCTTCCAGCTGGGCGTGGCGGCGACGGCCCAGTCCACCCCGCAGGCGGCCAGGTGAGGTGGGCCGAGGCCGTCACAATCGTCGCCTGGAGCACATCGCGTGCAGCTGGGGGGTGACGCGGAGAGGCGCTCCATCCACGGCGGTACGGAGGCAGTGACGGCTGCGTGGCTGGCGGGGTCACCGAGTGATGTTTGAATATTGTCTGATAGTGGTTCCCATCCCTGTTTTCTGACGATGGGCTGTGACATTGGTTCGCTGCATTCCCTGACTGCTACCTCTGATTATCTGATATATCTGATACTGATTGGCGCCCTGAACCCCAATCATCATCCTCATCATCATCATCATCATCATCATCGCTCCATTCCCTGACTGCTACCTCGTAATGATCTCTCGAAGTTTGCCTAGCAGTCTGATGGAAAGATCCCCCTTACAGGGACGTGTAATGGAGGCTGCCAGGCTGCCTGTGTGCCTCGATGACTGGTGCAAATGTTGATGCCCTGACGGTGTGTCGGCCTAGCACCGCCCCTGACGGTGTGTCGGCCTGACGCCGCTCCTGACGGTGTGTCGGCCTGACGCCGCCCCTGACGGTGTGTCGGCCTGACGCCGCCCCTGACGTGTGTCGGCCTGACGCCGCCTGACGCTGTGTCCGTCTGATGCCGCCCCTGACGGTGTGTCGGCCTGACGCCGCCCTGACGGTGTGTCGGCCTGACGCCGCCCCTCGGTTGTGTCGGCCTGACGCCGCTCCTGACGGTGTGTCGGCCTGACGCCGCCCCTGACGGTGTGTCGGCCTCAGGACGTCCTCTGGCGGGGAGTCGGCGCCGTTCTCGCTGCGCCGCGAGTTGGTCCGCTCTCTGGAGAACACACGCGCCCGCCGCGAGGAGGTTACTCGTTTGCGGCCGCAGCTGGCGGACGCCCAGCAGCAGCTGGAGCTGGCGCGCCGGCAGCTGGAAGAACGTGATGCGCAGCTGGCCGTCCTCAAGGATCAGGTCAGAGGGGGAGAGTGGCAGGACCGGGACAAGAGTGCTGCTCGTAACTTGTGCGCTGGCATTGGGACGTCAGGTCGTTTTTCAGGTTTAGGGCTTGTTTGTCAGATGGCAGTTGTTTCCGGCCCGTATGTAACGCTGCTGCTGTTCCATTGTGTTACATGCATGGCTGGAGCCGGCTGACGGGCGCCTGAGATCATCACGCTTCCACACGGCCCATTTGCCTCCACCGCCGTGGACGTCAGTCCGTGCTCGGTCAGCGCTGAGTGGGGACCCTGCGACGACCTGACCGCCACTGGTACGCATGCGCTGGACAGGTGCAGCAGCTGGCGCCTGCCGGCCAGCCGGGACAGCCGGCTGAGAAGGTGGCAGAGCTGGAGCGGCAGCTGGCCGCCGAGCAGAAGCAGCGCAAACTGGCCGAGGAGCAGCTGAAGAAGATCCGCCACGAGGGCGAGAAGCTGCACAAGGTGAGACGAACATCAACCAAGAATACGGCACGCCTTCGGGCTTGACTGACGTGATCATGATCGGGATCTAAACGATGCTGATGTATATGCTGCAGAGAGCAGGTGACCCTCGTGTAATTATGTCGCTTTCTTCCTACGGCGGCTGTCGCTTACGCCATTTCTTGCTGCTGGGTATTGGTACAACGGTGATTGCATCACAAGACTTGTACATAATCGTGTACAATAACTGCTGAGCGTGAAAATGGAAAATCACGAAACTATGCAACTGGTTTTTACCTGGCTGAACTCGGTGGAATCGGTCCAAAGGCCCTGTCGAGATGAGAGTAAGAAAGGTATGATGCGGAAAATTGATGGGAAATGTTTGAAGTTCCGTATTGTTGCATGAGACGACGAATCTCCAGTATGCGTAATCCCGCATCATCATTATCGTACCAGGCGATGTTTGTGCGTCAGGAAAGTTTGCCTTATTCCGTGTAGAATAACCAGGGGGAAGGAAAGATAGACGTATTTATATTTTGGCTTGCATGCTTTTATTGGTATGAATAACTAAGAGGAATAAGGCTAAGAGTGCTGCCTTATCTATATGTGCAATGTTCCTCGCAAATGCATTTAACAGCTTATGTAATTGGGAAAGCAAGGCCAGCTTGCCCTTACTGTAATGCAACGGATACAATACCTTACGTCTTATATGACTCATCAGTAAGGCAGATATGGGCACACATATTTCAGAAATGGAATATCAGGCCAAGTAATGTCATGGAATGTCATGGAATGTGCCTTATTTGGCATTGTCAATGACCGCCATGCATACATCGTAACGTGCAAGGCGTTTGATCATGGTGTGAAACCAAGTTATTATGACCCTGGAAGTCGACCAGCTCTAAAACCCCAATCATCATCATCATCAGGTCTTAAGTGCACTTTAAAGCGCTACTTAGAATGTGAATGGTTAACTGCACACACACACGACCAATGTGCGAATTTAGAGCAGAATAGCGAGACCTCGCACAGTAACGTTCAAATCAAACCATGACACAAGGACGAAAAAAACAAAGCAGAGCACCAACAGGGATATGTGTTGTGTCAAAGGGTGAAGGGATGTGAGGGTGGAGGGGGAGAGATCATTTTCGAGCCACCAAACTTGCCTGTCGAGAGACGGGGTGTGGTCGAAAACGTGGGATTTATGTGACGTGATGTGCGTAATGATGATGTGCTATGTAATGATGTGGTAATGATTGTGTGATGGTATTGCTGTGTCCTGCAGTATTGGCATAGTGCCTGTAAGTTGTATATGTAAATGTTAGGATTTTGATATTAATCTAAGGGGAATTGAGGGTTAAAGCTGTCGAGTGGGGTGCTAAGCCCTGTTTGGCGGGCTGACCGTCGGCTGGTCGGCTGTGTGTGTACGGGGCAGACGGCGGAGGAGCTGCGGCGTCACCTGGCCGAGCAGGTGGAGCAGGCCGACAGGGCGCGCCTCCAGGCTGTGGAGGAGGTCCGCCAGGCCTGTCTCCAGCTGCACGACGACATGATGAACAAGCTGCGCTCCGAGAAGGTCGAGGAGTACGAGGCTGAGCTGGGCAGCGTCAGGTTGGTCCGCGGGCACGGCGGCTTCCGCCAACGCTGCTGGCTTGCTGTTGCCGGGTCCTGCTGCACCATGCTTTTTGAGCCATGTGTTATGTTGTTATTCTTGTGTCGCCATTGACATGACAGTTATTCCGAGCATGAATTCGGGCTTTTTATTTTTCGTTGGATCCACTAATCCTTTGTTGGAGATTGTCTTTTATTCCTTTCTGTCTTGGTTGTGTTCCCGTGCCGTCAGTTGTCTTGCACGTTTGTTTCTCAGGGCGGACCTTGCCCGTACCCAGGAGGAGTTGCACGATGTTAAAGAGCTGTATGTCAAGGTGTGTCAAGAAAAGGATCAGTTGGAGGAGAAAACGAACGAGGGTAAGCTCATTTCCATTTGGCATTGCTGTAAAGCATCGAAGAGGCGAAGACATGCCGGTTTTGCTCTAAATTGTGATTTGTTGATCCGCTCTCGTGCCTATTCATCTTATTCGTGATGACGCTAGTTAGGACTGCTGAAGTGTAGTCAACGAAATATGACATTTATGGGTAGCAGTATTTGACGGCGCAAAGTTGTGCCGCACAAAAACAATGCAAAAGCACGGCCATGATTTGGCGTGTCGACGGCGGCTTTATTATCGTGTGTGACACTGACCTCTTCAGAGCGGAAGTCGGCGGTGGGCGAGCGCGAGCGGGCGGTGAAGACGGCGCTGGACCACCACTACGACCTCTGGTACGCCGACTGGAGGGTCAGCCAGCAGGCGGCCGTCGCTGAAGCCGTGGAGGCCGAGCGGCGCCGGCAGAAGGTCGAGGTCAGTCTGGGGGACGCGGCTGGGTCTGTACAGGCGGCTGGGACGGCTGGGACCCCTGGGTCAGCCGAAAGGGATGGTTGAAATCCGTTGAGGGGGACGGCTGGGATCGGTCGAGGAAATGACTGGGGTTTGTAGAGGGGATGGCTTGGGTCGGTCCAGGGGATAGCTGGGGTCTGTTGAAGGGATGGGTGGGATCTGTTGAGGGGATTGCTGGGTGTGTCGAGCGGATGGCTGGAGTAGTCGAGGGGATGGCTGGTCCTGTCGAGCGGATAGCTGGGGCAGTCGAGGACATGGCTGTGATTTGTCGAGGGCATGGCTGTGGTCTGTCGAGGGGATGGCTGGGTCCGTCGAATGGGTGGCTGGGGTTGTCGCACGGCAGCCGTACCCACACTGGTCGTCACATTGTGTCTTGTCTGTTGATATTGGACTATGGCACTGTCGTGCCTTTCCACCAGGTGGGCAGCGCCACGACACAGACCTGTGCGCCGGCGGCCGTGGTCAGCGCCACCCAGACCAGCCCGCGGCAGCCCGCCCCGCCGCCGCCGACTGCGCCCCACACGCAGCACAAGGCCGTCCAGTCGGACGACGAGACGTCCGCCCAGCACCTCGACAAGCTGAAGAAGGTAACGGCGGCGGGCGGCGGCGGCGGAGGCCCTGGGCCGTGGGCGGTCGGCCGGAGCGGAGTCTCCGGGCTTTGCGCGGGGTGGTCGGTGCATGAGCGCGCCCGCCGTCAGGCACGCACATTGGTGTGTGCCAGCTGATAGCTGGACTTGACCATGAGGCTCCAGTTCTTGAGGAGAGAGAGAGAGAGGAAGACACGTTGATTTTGTGTCAGGTTTCACACTGCTAGCGGAAAGCATGTGTTACGAATTGATGAATGTACTGGCTACGGCATCGCTAATCGGCCTGTCATTCATCATGATTATTTGCATAAGGAGACCCAGCTGATTTGTGTTGTACAAACATTGTTTTACTCCGCATTTAAGGCGAGTTTCCGGTGTGTGATTTGGTATTGTCTTCGTGCTGATCCGCGTCCTGTTTTGTTCCATTCCGTTTTTTGCTAGCGCCGCCTCCGTCCCAACGCTGGTTCCGTCGGCCACCTCTGCATTATCAGTGTGGACCCCGTCGTCGGTCGCCTGTGGCGCATTGTTTTGCTACTGCTTACGGTGTCGCTGTATTTGCATGGATGTCCAGAAGCTGAAGCGTGCATGCCTGGACAAGAGAAAGCTGGAATCGGACGTACAGAGTTTGCAAGAGCACATTAAGCAATCTGCATGCGAGCACGAAGATAGGATGAAAAAGGTACTCAGCCCTATTTAGTCATTTCAAGAGATCCGTCGAACCGTCCAACCTTGGAGCTCGTATCAATACCGATGTTCTTCCGGCGTTGGGTTGAATCCTGACGGCAAACTGAGCATGTCCGCGACCTTGTCAGCCGCGGACTGGACGGAGGGCGCGCCGAGCCGTCCCGTCACGAGCTGTTCCCTGTTACGAGCCGTCCCGTCACCAACCGTTTCCCATCACGAACCGTCCCGTCACCAGTCGTTCCCCGTCACGAGCCGTCCCGTCACCAGCCGCCCTGTCACGAGCCGTACCGCCACGAGCCACCCCGTCACGAGCCGTCCCATCCGGCAGGAGCGGGCCGAGGCGGACCGGAAGCTGCGCGAGCTCAAGCGCCGCTCCTCGGGCGGCGCCGACAGCGAGCTGGTGCGGCGGCTGCGCCAGGAGCTGGAACAGACGCACGCCCAGCTGCAGAAGCTGACGCAGCAAACCAGTGTCGAGAAGGTGGGCCGGCCGAGTACTGCTGGGGAGGGAGGTGAGGTGGGGGGGGGGGGGGGGGGGGCACATGACACGGCTCGCACTCACCGTGCGGCGGCGGTGATGTTCAGGTCATCGCTCTAGGGTGTGGTGTTTGCGTTGTCACGGGGGTCGGACAGATAATTGCAGTTTCATCGTTGTTTGATTATTGTGTTTTTACATTACACGGCTGCATTTATGGTTGGCAGCTTAGTGTAGACACTCAGGACGCGTGACTTCATCGCTAACATTGCACTAGGTTGCCCTGCGTGCACTGTTGTTTGGCACCTGTGACCCGTACTACACGCCTGGCCTTGGTAACCGCGGGCGGCGGTGTCAGGAGGAGCTGGTCACGACGTATGAGACCCGGCTGCGGCTGGCACTGGAGGAGGACCGCCGCCTGGCGGCCGCCGTCGTCACTACGCGCCGCAGTCAGCTGACGGCCGACCAGCTGACGGCCGAGTGTGAGCGGCTGCGCGCCGAGACCGAGCGCTTGAAGGCAGAGCACGAGAGGCGCCTGCAGGAGAGCGAGGAGGGCTACCAGCGCGGCCTGGCCAGCTACCGCGCCCTCATCGAGAACAACGTGAGGCACGGGAGCGACGGCCGGGATCGCGGAGAACGGCGGGAGGCGCAGAGGGATGGGTCGGTTACCGGGCCCACGCAGGAAATATAGGAATAGCTGCCCGACCACCTGGAAACAGTGTGAGGTGCATAGGAGACGAAGCCCGGAGCTGGGCGGCGTGGGGCATAGGATGCGGGGCCAGTTACCGCCGGCCGAAAGATGACAGCGTGAGGGACGAGTACCAGGGAACACCAGGAGTGCAGGACAGAACTGGCGGCTCAGACGAGCGTCCCGGAGATGGGGCAGGTGCCTTATATCGTGCGTGAGGGACGAGTACCAGGGAACACCAGGAGTGCAGGACAGAACTGGCTGCTCAGACGAGTGTCCCGGAGATGGGGCAGGTGCCTTATATCGTGTGGGGTTTGCTCCCAGTTCATACTTTTCAATGGCTTATGTGTTTCCAAGCTGTTTTGTTACCTTGCGAATCGTGGATTCTTTCCGTCATTGTCCAACGCGGCAGCAACGGTCACGTATTTGACATAACACGGCATTTTCCTCGTGTGTCCATTGCTGAACCTCGGTCAACGGCGGAAAATGAGCGCCACGATCAACGAGACCTCATCGACCCTCCTGCGTTCTCGCCAGGTGGTCAAGGTGACCAGTGCCTGGGACGGGTGTCTCGCACCTCTTGTGCCGGCTCCCGACCCATGATCTATACTGGTGCTAGGTGGCCTATCTGACCAGTGTCTGTGAGGGGTGTCTCGCACCTCTTGTCCCAACTCCCGACCCATGATCTATACTGGTGCCAGGTGGCCTAGCTGACCAGTGTCTGTGACGGGTGTCTCGCACCTCTTGTCCCGACTCCCGACCCATGATCTATACTGGTGCCAGGTGGCCGAGCTGACCAAGGCCGAGGAGGAGCTGCGCCGGCAGGCCGCCGCCGACACCGAGCTGCTGCGGCAGGAGAACGCCCGGCTCGCGGCCGACAACGCCCGCCTGGCTGAGAGCTACGACAACGCCCTGGCGCAGCGGCAGGCCGACAGGGAAAACTACGAACAGCAGGTGAGGGCCGCTGGAGGAGTGAGGCTAGTGTGGGAGACGGCGGCCTGCTGACGGAGTGGGGCTGGTGTGGGAGATGGCGGCCGCTGGCCGAGTGGGGCTGGTGTGGGAGACGGCGGCCGCTGGCCGAGTGGGGCTGGTGTGGGAGACGGACGGCTGCTGGCCGAATGGGGCTGGTGTGGGAAACGGCGGCTGCTGGCGGAGTGGGGCTGGTGTGGGAGACGGCGGCCGCTGACGGAGTGGGGCTGGTGTGGGAGACGGTGGCCGTCGACGGAGTGCGGCTGGCTGTGGGAGATGGCGGCTGCACAGCATAGAGGCGGTCCTGCCTCTATGGGAACCTAGTGCTCTCATGTATGTAGTGGGGCATGGGAACTGACTTATTCCGTGGATGATTCGCTAACGTCAAGCGGCGACCATTTAGCGTCATGTCATAGCAAGCGATTCGGCGTTTGTCAAATTATGACTTCAGGGCTAATCTGGTTGATAGTTGTGGCTGTATCCCCGTCAGTCATTGTTCGTCCTGCTCAGTTGCCGCCCCCTCCCCCCCCCCCCATCCTGGCTCTGTCACTGCGTACGTGCTTCAGTATTCCGTGTCGTGGTGCACCTTCACTGGCTCAAGTCCAAGAGCCATGCTCGGGTGCGGCCGGTGTAGCTGGTTTACAACTGCTTGGCGGGATACACGAGTGTCAAGGTCGCCCGTATCGGTCCGTGGGGGTCAGTCAAAGAGAAATCTTACTCTAGATTTTATATTTGCCAAAACCCACTCCACACTAGTGTCTAAACGTACCAGCAGCACCAGCAAGTCTTGATTGAGTCTTCCTAGTCGAGTGACCTTCAGAACCAACCCGGCAACAGGCGGTTCGGCTTATGTGCTACCTTCAACTGAAAGTGATTCCGACGTCATGCAACGGAAATTATGCAATGAAAAACTAGCGGCAAACGTGACACCTTTCAAGGGGCAAGGGCACTTATAGTAGGCAAAGAAAACAATCGAAGAGCGGAATCGCTTTGCAATATTTGGAACTGTCTGATGTAAATGCCGCATTTACCATGCGGGTAAGGCACTGAAAATGGAGCTTAAAGGAAGTATGGAATCACGCAACCAAGTTGGGCTGAGTGAGGCCAGAGCATAAATAACGCCATAAGGGTACTTTGTTAGAGGCGGTGTCTGTTCCTCGGCTGTGACTAATAGCTACACATAACACGGCGAGACTCGTAATGCGGCACAGTCTACCCTTGCTGATGTCACAACGACGACCCAGTCCCTATGTGCGGCTAGTGACCGGCGACTGGCCGCACTGGCCGACTGGTGTTTAACGTCGTGGGGTGAATGAACTTTGTTGTCAGGGTCGTCTGTATTTGTCACCTTTGGCACCCTAACGGTCTCCATCACGCCCTTCATTACGAGGGGCCATGCGGTGTTGACGTCCATCGGTCGGGGTGTCTGTCAGTCTGTGTCGTCTTTGGCTAGCCCTCGTCCCGGCGTGTGATGTGTCCGCCTGATCCGTGCCCCGCTGGGCACAGGTGCGGCAGCTGGCGGCCGAGCTGGACGGCGGCGAGGAGCTGCGCGCCCGGCTGACAGAGCTCGAGTCGCGCCAACAGCAGGCCGACGCTGAGGCCACGGACCTGCGCGACAAGCTGCGCGCCAGCAAGGAGAAGCTGCGCGCCTACCACGGCTACGTCAAGGAGCGCGAGCAGCACTACGATGCCGAGTTCCGCCGCCTCGAGGCCGAGTACCGCGTGGCCGTCGGCAAGATGAAAGAGAAGGTGATGTTGGCGCGCGAGGGCGCGGCGCGGCGGCCGGCGCCGGCGCGCGCCTCTGCCGCCGCGCAGACGGACGTCAACGGCGAGGAGCTGGGCCGGCTGCTGCACGGCGTGTCGGGCTTCCAGCGGACCGTGTCGCAGCTGCGCCAGGAGCTAACGCTGGTGGTGGAGCGGTGCCAGCCGGCCGGCGGCGGGCTAGCGCCCCCGCCGGAGCCGCCCGAGCCGCCCACCTATCGCTCCCACGTGCTGAACCCACGCCGGCCCGCCTCGGCCGGCGCCCGGCTGGCGGCCGCCCCGCCGGCCGACGACGGCGCGCACGGCCACTCCGTTCGATTGGGGAGCGGACCTCAGCTGTATCCGGACCGGCAGGATGTTGGACCGCAGTGGTACCCCTCACGGTCCCAGAGCGGGCCACAGCTGTACCCCGGACGGCAGGACGGTGGTGGCCCGGTGTCGTACGGAGGCGGGGCGCCCGTCCGAGCGGCCGGGCTGGGCGGCGGCAGCGTCTCGTCGCTGGGCCGGCCGGACAGTGGCGCCACGACGGGTCGCGGCGTGTCGCCGCTGCTCCCCTCCGGTGACAACCCGCTGGCCTCGCTCGAGCGCATCCGACGCGACCTCAACTACATCTTCCCGCGCGAGGTGACCGGCCGGCCCGAGCCAGCGCCGACCGGGCGGCGGCCGTCTTCCGGGGAGGAGCTGCTGGCTCGTCTGGCCCGCCTGCCGCTCACGCCGCCGTCGAAAGACGGCAGTGGCCATCAATGACCTGGCCGGGGCGGCGAGTCGCTGCACAAGCAGCGACGCGGTCTAGCTCGTCCAGAGACCGGCTCGGCATCATTTACCATTGAAGCAATTGTTGAGTACCTGCATCATCTATCATCCGCATGAATCGACCATGGCGCGCGTTGTTAGTTTTATTAACCGAACGTTTTCAAATATACTTATTGTGATTTGTCTGCTGTGTAACACGTAACCAGACACCCACGCCTGGCTGAAGCCTTTCGCGTTCACAGAACGGTTTACAGGCGTCGCCGGCGCTAGGCTCCGAGACTACGCTTGCTGGGGAGCGAGCCGGCCGCTGCGCTCCGCAGTCCGCGCGGCGTGCCGCTCGGCCCCGCGGGAGCCTCACTCGCTGCGCACGTTGCCGCCGCTCTGGATGCAGCGCGCCAGCAGACTCTGGCGCTGCACGGTCTGCTTGTCGGGCGGCGCGTCACGCTCGCCGGCGCCGTCGGCCGCCACCACGGGCACCAGCGCCTCGGCCGCCGCCGCGTACCGGCCGAGTACGAGCAGCTCGACGGCGCGCCGCTGCGCCTCTGACGGCGGCTCGCCGTCGGCCAGCTCGGCGTACAGCGGCCAGCCCTGCTCGCAGGCGGCGCACTCGCAGGCGAATTGGTACTGGCGACGCAGCGCCGCGTACCGGCTAGTTTCGTCCTCCTCGTGGAAGTGGAAGCCGTAGTTGTCGAGCAGCTCGTCGCCGGCGCGCAGCGGCCGCGTGCTGGTGACGGCCAGGCGGCGGCCATGGCTGGCGCGCACCGCGTTCGGGAAGCAGCTGTGGTTTGCCAGGCTGACGGCCGCGTAAACGGCGCCGCCCAGCTCCTCGAACTCGGCCAGCCGCACGCCGCCGCCGGCCAGCCGCAGCTCGGTCACCTCGTACGCGTTGCAAGAGCAGCTCTGCAGGTGGCGCAGGGCCAGCGCGGCCGTGGGCGCGCGCTCGGCGGCCGCCACCGCGCCGGTCCGTTCCAGGCAGGCGGTCAGGTAGAGCGCCACGGCACACCGCTTCACCACGTCGCCCATGGGCCGGTCGGCTGTGTTGGTCACCTGGCTGTACACGGCGGCGTAGCTGAGCGAGTCGTGCGGCGCGTCGGGCGCCGGCGGTGCCGGCGGCTCGAAGTGGAGGCGCAGGGTGTCGGGACCGGCGCGCGCCAGCACGCGGAACACGAGCAGCGCCATGCGGCCCAAGTTGGGGTCGATCAGCAGATCGAGCACGCCGCACTCTGTGCCGTGGAAAAGGTGCAGCGCCTCGGAGCGGCAGGACTCGCTGCAGAATAGCACCTGGCGGCCGTCGCAGAAGGCTCTCAGACCACGGGCTGGTCAGGGCGGGTGGACACGTGTCAGAAGGCAGACTGATCTGGTGTGACCTAAAGAGCTCTTAGTGGGCTCTTAGTGGGCTCTTAAGGCCACAATGAATTGATCGTTGATCCGAAACGGAAGACGCGCGCACACACGCAGTTTTAGCTAACAACGATCCAGAAATATAGTTACCACAGGTCTGATTGAAATCCAGTGATGTTGAAACGCGCCACAGCATGACGAGGTTGTTTTGTGACGGCGGGCTGGAGGACACACGGCGCCGTTTACAAAAGATAGCAGGCACTGTTCTTTGTTTACATCTTGCCTGGAGCTCGCTTGCAACTCGTAATCTGGTAAAGCTTATGACTAAACTTTACAGGTAGCAGACGTAGTAGCGTTTCGTCGGACGCGGATCTTTCTGCGACGGAATGAACAGCCGGCTAGAGTGGGCACCCTCCGCGTGGTCCAGTGGGGCAGAGCTGCTGGCAACGAGGGCAGGCCGGGCACCGGAGCAGCACTGACCGATGCGCAGTCGGGACAGGGCAGCGGGCAGTCGGCCGGCCGGCAGCAGTTCTGGCAGTGGGTGACCCAGCGAGGCGGGTGCAGCGACCAGGCGAACGGCTCGTCCGCGATCAGCGCCGAGCCTGCGGCCAGCGGCCACAGGTGACGTCACGGCGCCGGCCCGACCAGCAAAGCAGCGGTTCGACAGCAGTACAGCCCCACACGGCGACTTTGTGATGCTCAACACGCTACCGATGTCCATACATGCTAACTTGTTTAGCCTATATCTGAACTTCAACGGCATTTGCCACATAACCATAAGAACGGAGACCGAGAAGGGAGAGCGCATTGCTGGCATGACTGCGGGGCACGGCGCCAAATCGAGGCCCTGGTGCAAAAGCAGCACTGCAGCGATCGCCGCCAGACGTCAGTCGTGTTTCCGGTTCGCTAATGGCTCGACAGCGCTTGGCATGAACGGGGGACACCTCGGGCAAGCGGCCAAGCTCGGCCGTGGTGTCCGAGGCGCGGCCGGCCGACGCCGCGCTCACCTGGCGGAATGTCTGTGTTGGCGACCAGCATGCGTCCGCGCCGATCGTCGACGGCCAGGTCCAGGGCGGCCGACACCCGCCGCAGCCGCGGGTGCGGGCCGCCGAAGAGACGCGGCGTTTCCGGCGCCGGCGGCTGCGAGACGTCCTCGGCGGCCTCCTCGCCGCCGGCCAGCCGCTTGCGGATGGTGCCCAGCTCCACGGCGTACATGGCCTGCTGCTGGCGGTCCAGCTGGCGCACGATCTGCAGCGCCTGACGCACGCTCGCCTCTGCCTCGTCGCGCCGCGCCAGCGCCGTCTGGAAGCGGGCCCGCTCCACCAGGAGCTGCACGTGCGTCTCAACGGCAGCGACCAGCGCCGGCTCGGCCAGCAGCCGCTCGGCTTCAGCCAGCCCGCTCGCCAGCTTGCCCAGCTCGTAAAGCGTCCACAGTCGGTTGATGGCCACGGCCAGGTAGAGGTCGCGCACGCAGCCGTCCTTGAGCCGGGCCGGCTGCGCCAGCTCCAGCGGACAGTGCTGCAGCGCCGTGTTGCACAGCACAAGCTTGCGCTGCGAGTCGGTGCAGTTCATTGCCATCTCGAGGAAGCGGCGCGCCTGTTCCTCGCTTTTGCCGGTGGCGCCGGCGGCGGGCAGGCGCAGGCGCGCGGCCGCCTGCAGCCGCAGCACCGCCTCCACCCGCTCGCGGTCCGTGTCGAGCGCGTCGAACTCGGCGCGGTACGCCTCGACACCGAGCGCCCGCAGCTCCGCACACAGGCCATCGTAGAAGGTCGAGAAGGCGTTGTCGCCGGGCGACTCGGGGCCGGCGCAGACGGGCCCGTCCATGGCGGCGCGCCGGACCGACACTCGACACCCACTGGCGCGCCGGCGTCGGTGGCGGCGGCGCCCGGGCGCCAGGTATAAATAGGACCGACGGCCTAGACTGGAGACGCAGGTGCCGCCGCGGACGGAACCGGCGCCGGCCCGATCGCAGAGCCGGTGATAGTGCCCTGTGGTGTGCGATCGCTCAGTTATATCTTGGATTAGTGTTTTTTGACCAAAATGGACTTGAGGCGTGTTCGAACAATGTCGTGATTTCGGTGCACTCCAGAAACGCGGCGGAAATTCCACAATGTCTTACAAACGTACGTCGGAAATCGGTTTTGCTGTCGCCCAGAGAGCAAATTTTTTAACAGTAAACGGTCGAAAAATGTTTTCCATTGGACCAACAGTCGGTAATGAATCTCCAGTCCCGACGTGGTGACCAGCTGACGTGCCGTTGTGCTGATCGGCGATAGCCGGTCCAGTCGGCCACCGCACACCAGGCCGCGCGACGGCACCGTTACCCGCTTGGCAGCCGTCGGCGGGACGGGGGCAGGGGTCGCTCCTCGCCAGGGTTCCACTCCTGCACCTCTATGACGTCACCGGTGTCGGCCGTCGACGCCGACAGGGTTCAGACGAAACAGCTCGGCCGGCTGTGGACCGGTCGGCCGCCGTCCCCAGTGACGGCGGTCAGGCCCACTGCCGTCTCCCAGCGCGAGAAGGCCGTGTCTGAGACTGACCGGCTGCGGACCGGTCGGCCGCCGCTCCCAGCGACGGCGGCCAGGCCCGCTGCCGTGTCTCAGCGCGAGAAGGCCGTGTCTGACACCGACATAGCACTTTGCTTCAGGGCAGCAATACGAGAGCTGGTCAAACACCAGCGATCGCGTGCCATCAGTAGAGGAAGCCAGCCAGGCCAGCGCTGGCAGGTCTCGCCGCAAGATATCACTATCCGCCACGAATCACGCTGAACCACAAGGATTGTATGCTACGGAATCCGACACCAGTTGTCTAGGCGTGGTCAAGAAAGCGGCATTTTGAACGCGGCCTAGCGATAAAGCATCTGTCATGGCCAGTGTCCCTCTGAGTTAGGTTCTGATGACTCATTTACATGCCGGTGGAGTTCTCCATGTATTGACGTCAAAGTCAGCGACACCTCACAGAAATGACAGAAAAGACATCCACACTGTACAAAACGCGTCTACTCGGTAATGAGAGCAAAATAACACTACTCACACTAATCGGCAAAATAAGGCGCATGTTTGGAAACGACAAATTCTTACTCGTACTTGGCTTGGCAATTACCATGCCAAAGTGCGAAAAAAGAGATGTCATTGACGCGAAACATTCAACCAGACTCAGTGTGTTCACAAACAGCCGGCGCCAAGGGACGACGGAGGTACGCACAACCGCGCCACTTACACCGTCCGTCTGCCGGAACATCCGCACCGTCGCCGGGTCCGCTCCGTCCCCTCCGCGGGCCGCTCTGTCCTGCTCGCCGCCGCCAATGCCGATCAGGGTTCCCCGAGCTCACTGCCACGCTCAAGTCCCATGCTGTCTCACTCGTCGCCAGTTTCGACTCTGCCGGAGGACTCCGGCTCCGGCTCCGGCTTCGGCGCCCGCTCTGGCTCTGGCTCTGGCTTGTACTCCGGCTCCGGCACCGACACTGTCTCCGGCTCCGGCTCCCGCCCAGGCTCTGCCTCCGGCTCCGGCTCTGGCCCCGGCTCTGGCACAGGATCGGCCGCCGCCGCTGGCGCTGGCTCGGCCGTCTCTACCGGTCCAGCCTTATCCGCCGGCTGGGCGCCCTCAATCAGCCGGACCGTCGCGGTGGCGCGGCCGCCCTCTCCCCCTCTTCCTCCTCTGCCGGCGTCGTCGGCGATGGCGGCGCCTGCTCCTGGGGCGGGCCCGCCCTCTCCAGGGTCGGAGCCGGGGCGGAGGCGCGGGCGCGCCGGCGGCCGCCCACAGTCGCCGCACAGCCAGCCGTAGCCGGGTCGCTTCGGTGACTTGGTGACGGGCGGCACTAGACAGCTCAGGTGTAGGTCCGAGCACAGTCGTCGCACCTGCGGCGGCCCACATCGGTGTCAGCTGACACGCCGCACGTGGTGA